GTGGGAAAGAGGTTTAACACCTAACAGACCCGACCTGAGGAATAAAACCCCTTCTGTTTGTTTTCCTGTTCGTTTTTTTACATTCTACTGAAACAAGATGGATTATTTTGTAGTGTGAGTTTAGGCATAAATGATTGAGCATCTTTGATGTCTGCCTAATGCCTGTACATGTAGTTAACGCAGTATTTGTCCAGGATAGCACCATTTAGTGGCGTTTTGGGATTTTTTTTTTCTCTTCTAGTCTTTATAATTATGAAATAATCTCACTGTGAAATAGTGTTGACTTTTGGTTCCTTATTCCAAGGGAGACTCATGTTAGTGGGTTCAGCTCACAGAGAGCAGACCCTCCATAATCCTTGCCATTTCTAAGACTGAAAGAAAGCTCTTTGGGGCACTGTGACTCTGGCTTCTGGCGCGAGACCCTGTACCTCCTGCCGTGGCCATTAACACCGGCCCCTGTCTGGTGTCCCCACGTCTGTGTGTGCTGAGCCCTCGGGCGTGTGTGTGATGTCGCTGCGTTTCTGCAAACATGAGATGTAAAAGTGACAAGTGAGCCCTCCTCTGAGGCTTGCGAGGGGAGTGCTGTCGATACGGGTTACGCCTTGAGACAGAGCGCTGTATTTTGCTCAGAGCAGGCACATGTGCTCGTGGGATCCAGGTCTGAGGAAGGCCGACTTGCAGGGGACCAGCCTCATACGCACGTTTAAAATTCAGAGGCGGAGGGGGCAGGGGGTGGGTTTCCCGGGGCTTCTGCTAAGCTCAGAGCAGACGGCTTCCACCGTGGCATCGGCGAGCCGCTCACATGCGCTTCTCCGTGTAGACCCGTGGAGTCCACGTTGCTCTTTGCGGCTTAGTGAGTGACTTTGCACTGAGGTTATCATCTGTGACATACGTCCATGTCCTTCAACTGTCCATGCTGCTTTAATAGCTTGTGTTCGACGTGGTTTTTTTTAACGTTTGCTGATATTCGGGCATTATGAAAATATCAAGAGCGAAGCGAAACAGCCAACAGAAGCAGCTGCGCAGGCCGCGTCTGAGTGGAGAGGTGGCAGGGCCCACCCCGCGGGGTGTGGCACCGGCGGTCCCCTCGGAGACGGGCCAGAAGGAGACCGGCTGAGGCCTACCCGGCCCGGTGCCTTTTCTTTGCTTCGCATACCTTTCTGTGACGAGTGGGCGGGTGTCACAGGCGCCCGCAGGGACCCTTTGAGTGGCAAAGTGATAAAAACGGTGTAGGGCCAGAGACCCGGGCCTGGGGCCACCTGCGTCCCCGCCGCAGGCCTGGCCCCATTTCCCTCACCCATGTCTCCCTTTGCCTTTGGGGAACTCGCAATTCCTGTTGACTGAGAGGCTTCCCTGTTCCACCACAGGCCGGGCCAGTGAGACACGCGTAATCTCCGAGCCCAGTTGGGCCAGGACAGGAAGCGGCCCCCTCCCTGCCGCGTTTTCCTGAGAGACGGTCTCTTCCCTCCTTTTTTGCATATTTGGCGAATGGTCCCACCTTTCTCCCCGCCCCAGTGGAGTGCGAAGGTGGCAGTGGGGGAGAGGCCGCCGCCAGGGCAGACGGGGCCTCCCAGGTGGCGGGTGCAGGGGACTCGTGCGGCCCAGGTTGGAAGGGCCCCGTCCTCAGAGCCGGGATCGGTGTGGGAAAGGCGCCCCCCTCGGCCTCCGGCGGGCCCACTGGTGAGTGCCCGGGTTCAGGGCTGCGTGGACGGGCGGCGGGCGCCGGAGCTGTGGCTCCCGGGCCGTCGGGGGGGTGGAGAGCATCCTTGGGCCCCGCTTGTGTGCTGGGCTTTGTGGGGTCCCGCACCCCACCTCTGGGAGCTCCTGGCTCGGGGCCGCGGCCCAGCGAGCGTCTCCGAGCGGGTCCCAGTTCCCGGGGTGGCCTCTTCCTGGTGTCCCACGCAGGGGTGCCATGATTGCTTTTTCGTCGGCAATCAGCTCTCCGCTGCAGGAAATCCGACTCCCTTCCTGCCATTTTCGCGCCCAAAGCTGCCTGTGATGGACAGTGAGGGCCGGACTTGTGGGGGTGACGCGAGCAGGTGGAGGAGAAGGGGGAGCCGGCCTCGTGCCTGCCCCCTTCCCTCCCTCCCTACCCCGCTCTTCTCTGCACATATGGGGCTTCACAGAGATGATGGAGCCAACCGAGAACAGCGTGACTCGCTTTTAAAGGTCCTCGTACACACCGAGATGGATGTCCATGCTTCATCTCTGAGCTCACGGCCTACACGCCACACTGAAGCATCTTCTGCTAGTTTGAAACCGTTTTATAATGAACAGTCTGGGGTGGACTAGAGTCCAGGCTTAAACCCAGGAGCCCCACGACGGGTATAGATTTATTTGGAAATTTATTTGGAAATTTATTTATTTGGAGATTTATTTGGAAATTTATTTGTGGCTAAATCAGATGTGTACTGTCAAACATGAAGCAGGTGAAATGGCAGAAAAGATCCCGCCCTAGAGTGAATAGGAAAATGTTGTAGAGTCTTGAGGAGAAATGAAAATGAGCCGTCGGCCTTTCACCAGCTCGCGGGTCACCCCGAAATGCGCTTTTACTGGGATCCAGAGCCGGCCAGCGGCCCCTGGCGCAAGCCCCACTTTTAGCCTGAAAAGACGACCTTTCCCTCCTGCCCCACACCGGGTTTTGTGTCCGGCAGAAAATTAAAGTGATATCCAAAGAGATCCGCAGTGAAAACATATCGATAGATCGGGCATTTTACTTCATTCAATTAAAATCACACTGCTGATCTCGGGTAGTTAGAGATAAGGAATTAATGACCATGTAGAAATGACTTGGAAATTTTTAGTGCTTTTCTATGTGTATTGCCCGCTTCTGCCTGGGGCTGCATACGTCTCCCTGAATAGAAGTTTTCGGTTTAATTCAGAGCAGACAAGGCTTTTGTAAAAGTAAAATAATTTGTTTAAGGAAAAATTAAAGTAAAACATTGAAAATTACTTGAACGTATTTAAGGGCGGCAGGAAAAGCTGGCTGTGTGGGACGAGAGCGTTTGCTGCCAGGATGTACGCAAAGACAGGCCGATATCTGCTGCCTGCAAATGAGGAAATCGTGAGCTTCTGTGAGGGTTCGCTGAGGCCGCCCCCGGGGGTTTGCGTGGGGACAGTGCAGACTGCAGGTTGTGAGGTGCGGGATGGCCCCCAGGAGTCTAGGTTGGGCCTGATCCCCACTGGGCATCCGGTTCACGTGGCCCTCGCTCTGTGCCCCACGGGGCTGGGCTGTCTCCTCAGTCAGGACACTTGGAGGTTTGGGCGGGTGCCGAGCTCCCTGTCTCCCACAGAATAAAATGAAATCTAGAGCTTTTCTTGCTGATTTGATTCAGCTACAGAGCCAATCAGAACATCGATTGGTATTTTTTTCCTGTGGCTATTTGGTTTCTTACCCATGGCAGTGGCCGTTGCCAAATGACCGGGAGGCTGATGATACCCCGATTGTCCCTCTGCCCTCTCACATGCAGAGTCGGTTGGCTTCAGCTGAACCCTCTGCCGTTGGGGTGAGCGAGGTGAAGCGCCCTACAGCTGCTAAACAATCGAACTAGAATTTAGGGATCTCCTTTTTGAATCTGGATTCCGTACAGTGTGAATACAGTTTCAAATGTGAACACAGATTATTTGTAAGATAAATTTTTAAAAAGTTACCTCATTTTCACCGATTACAGCTGTTAGTTTTGTGGATGTCATGAAGGAACTCAGCTCAGAAAGCAGGCCCCTAGGGAGCACCTCCCATCAGGCCAGAAACCATGTGGCCTTAGCTCAGAGGCAGTCGGGGAGACTGGAGGCCGGCACCCCTTTCTTTCTGGAGCTGAGAGGAAACGGCTCACACCAGAGGGTGGGCCAAGCAGCCTTTCCTATTGCAGAGAGTGACAAGCAGCTCCTTGAGGCATTAGCTGGAGAATACGTTGTCTCTCTGTGTTTGCATCTAGATGTATAAATCTTGTCTCACCAGCAGCTGGACAGTGGAGACTTTTATGGAGATAAAATGAAAAGAAATTTGCAGGGCCCTAGGACAACGTCCTCAGTGGGCGAAGCGATTATGGCTTTTCACTTATTGTTAATAAACACTCACCTATGGATTTGTAAACAGCTCGAGATTCCTGTGAGGATTTGCATAATTTTACTTCCTTAGGTCTAAATAAAACTGAGCTTTCGCCAAAGAAACTTCTGCAAACGCTTCTTTAAATAGAAGTCAAATGGTCTTGTAGAAACCCTAGGCTAACAGATGAACTTTTGGGAACGTTAAGGGTATACCAGTAGATTTTTCTAGCAGGTTCAGGTTGAATTTTGAGTTTTGACATAGGCACATGAAATGCTCTGCTGGTGCTTTGAGATAAGTCCTCTGCTAAGCAGGCAGGCAAGATACTGTAGATACTGTGGTCTTTGTGACAGCAGATTGCCTCCTGAGTAAAAGAACTTAGTTAAATATTGTTACTTTGTATTTATTTTTTAAATGAAAAAAAAAAAAGCACCCCAAATAATAAGAACATAGAATTGTTCCTGAGCTTCCTTGGTCCTACCTGTAATTTATCGTCTATAATAACAGATAACAAGACGTCATTTTGGGGCATCTCTATGGAAATCGTTATTTGGGGGGCAGTTTTTATAAATGTTTAAGATGTCGGTCTCATGTCTGTTGCACAGTTACTGGCCGCGCACCCCGAAGGTGTCCTAAAATCAGTGGGAGGGCAGAAGAAAATGATTCCAAACTTAAATCTTTTACTTAAGCAGGGAAGTGTGAAAGGCCCTTTATATTTGAGGGAGCCGCTTAGGAAGTGGCCTGCACGACAGTCGGAGTCAGGAAAAGTCCCACGGCGGCATCTGTCCATTTCGAGCGCGGTCGCTGTGTGAACGGCAGCCGCCGTGAGCGGTTTGAGAGCCAGGGGTGCAGCGGGGCCTCACCAGGAAGCGGCTTCCCCCGCGGGAGAGGCGCCCACACCCGGGAGAGGGGAGAGGGCCGGACGGGCACGGGCGGGGTGCAGCTCCGCGCCCAGCCCTGCGCCTGCCCTGAGAGCAGATGCGTCTCCAACTCCGTTTTGTCTGTTTTTAAGAAAGATAGGTCATGTGATAGCTCACGGCTCTCTCTCCTAAGCTGGCTCTGAGGCAGGCGGCTCCATCGCCGCCTTTGACGATATTCGCGAGCTTCTTTCCCGTCCGTGTCAGACGCCCTTGCTCAGAGGGCTTTCACACAGCATGGCTGTCCGCTGGCTTCTGAAAAGGGCCCGTCTTCCCTCTAACCCTTCCTCTTTTGCATATCAGTTCCTGCCCGTAGGAAGAAATGTGAGGACAGAATTGCACATCTGAGCTAATTTGCCCTCGAAACGCTGCTTCTCAGCAGAACGGGCCGGTGGAGGCATTTTCTGGGGCTCGGCTCAGAAGTGGGGGGGCCGGGGCGAATGCCAGGTTGCAGTCCCTGCCGTCCTGTTCGAATCCGGTCTCCCATTGTTGTCGGTTCCGGCAGCACGCTGGGGAATAACCGCGAACCTGGGCGGATTGGCAGCTAATTTTTGAAAACGGAAAAGAATCAGAAATGAAATAAGAATGCCCAGAAGTTTTTACGTTCTCCTGACCTGTTTTGTCAAATCATCCAGGAAAACCTGTAAGGTCCCCTCCGCCCGACACAAAGACCTTGCAGATTGCTCGGCTTGCTCTCCGTTTCTTCTTTGAAGATACAGCGTCACTCACGGTGACAGGATCCGTTTGCACAAATAAAATCTACTAATCGGAAAATGAAAGGACTTTCTCTCAGCAGGAGTAATGGGTTTTATTAAAGAGGTTTGTGACCTAAGGCATTTAAAATAGGCTATAGGCTTGGCCCACGTCCCTTCCCCCTATGTACCCGCCCCCTTCAAAACAAGTGTCACTGAGTGTATAGGGAAGTTGCCCAAATGTAACTGTAATGCAACTTCTCTTGTCATGGAGGGAAAAAAAATCAACTGTGCATTTGTCCAAATACCAGAATTTAACTATATTGTAGAAGTTTGGGGCTGAAGTTTGCTTCATTGTGGGCTATTACAAAGAACGTGCTTATTTCCTGTTAAGATGCAGGTCCCTTTATACATCTGACATTCGGGACCAGGACGCTGGGCTGGGAAGTCCTGTTGGGCAGGAGGCGTTGCGGGAAAAGGCATCGCCATCCGGGGCTCATGGGCTCCGCTCCCAACCCCGCCGGCTGCGTCGGTGTTCGCCCTGGGCAGGTCCCTCCCACATCCGCCTGACTGTTCTCACCTGTAAAATGGAAACAATGTGGATTATGAATAATGCTAATAATGACAAGTTTTAATTGTGAGGATTAAGCACACGTATTGAGCAAACGCGTATCGAATGCTAGGTCTACGTTGGGCACCGTGCCAGACTGAGGTCTCGGCAGGCTGCCCGTTCAATGCCAGGCGCGTAGTAGGCTCTTTAAAACCACCTAGCACCAGCGCCCTTTCCTCCGCCAGGCCTTTCTGACACACATAAGGTGCCTGAGAAACGTCGTGAGATGTTACTGGACAGTCTCAGGGGAGGGGAAGGCATTTGTATTTTTTAATCTGCTTGTTTGTTTATATCTTTTTTTTTTTGCCTTCTTGTTGAGGTGTGATTGACATATAACATTATATTAGTTTTCAGTGTACAACATAATGATTTGATATTTATGTACATTGCAGAATGACCATCACAATCAGTCTAGTTACCATCCCCCACCTCACAGTGACAAACACATTTTTTTTTTTGTGAAGAAACTTTTACTCTCTTCACGGCTTCATTACCGCCGTGTAGTCATCGTGCTGTACGTGGCCTTTGTGTTTTTTGGGGAAAGCAGATAGCGCAGCCACTTGCTCCTCAGGGGAGTCAGTTTCGAGCTCGCCGCGGTGCCGCCTGCCCCGGTGAATGTGTCTGTCACCGTCCTGTGCCCGGTCGCGGCTCTTCGTGGCCTGGGCGGCCGTGGTTGTCGACAGGCATCTTTGCTTCTGACTTCATCGATCCCGACTCACCTTTCAGGATTATGGGAGAGCCGCCGTGTTTCAGAGCAGATCCTGGGGACAGAGGTGCTTTTGAGGGGGTGGGGGTGGCTCTGAGGACGGCCACCAGCCCGGCCCCCGGCTGCCCTCGTGGCTGATTGGCTCTTAGAGCTGTTCAGGCCACTTGCTCCCCCACAGGCAGAAAGGAGAGTGGTGGGGACACTCCTCCCGCAGACCCACTGGGCTCCTCCCTCCGAGGCCACTGCCCAGGGTAGGTGGCTGCTTCTCCCAGACATGGCCAGGTTCCTGTCCTTCCTGAGTGTGGAAGGAGGGAAGAAAGGCAGGTCGGGGAGGCTGTTCCCAAAAGGTCTCCCTCTCCCTGAGAGAAGCCCCTCTGGAGGGTCCACGTGGGCCGGGAGTCCAAGTCCCCTGCCGTGGCTGCTGGGGACCGGCCGGGCTGTGGGCCTGCTGTGCTCTCCTTCTCACGCCTTGCTTCATCTTTAACGTCCCCTCGTCCCTAAAGTCATGGATATGCCACCTCCACTGAGCCGAAACCAGGAAGTCCTGGTGGACCCCGTTTGATCAGAAGGACCAGAGAGAGAGACAGGGACACGGGGCGGGGGGCAGGGGGGCGGTGCGGGCACAGGGAAGGACAGAGAGACCGTAGACTCCAGAGCAGTGACCCCCCCACTCCCACCCCGATCAAGAGGAGAGGAGGGCGGCGGTGACGACAGACAGCAGGCTGTGTTCTCCGGGACAGACAGCCGGCCACAGCCCCGCACGCCGGCCACAGCCCCGCAGGCCGGCCGTGCTCATCTCCGCGTCTGGCACCTGGTGCGCGATCCAGAACCGCTCCCTCTGGAGAGACCGAGCGTTCACGGTGATCGACCCGCGCGGGCGACGGTGACTCTGCTGTCGCTGTGTTTTCCACCATCCGTGGACTGGGCTCTGGCCTGTGATTGTTCGGGTTTTCCATGCAGAGCAGAAAATCGCAGGGTGTTTCTGTGACGTAACGAGCGCCTCGGCCGCCCTCCTTCACCGGGCCGCTGGTCTCGGCCTCGTGTAGGTGAAGGTTGGCGAAAACCAGCTGTTTTGTGACGAGCTCTTCCCCTGACTGTCGGCTCCTGCTTGGCGAGGCCCTGTGGAGTCGGAGCCAGTTTTCTCCTTGGCGCTGGCCCTGCTTTTGCAGGGGTGGAGCGGGCTGGGCGAGCCCGGCCCGAGAGCATGCACGGGGCGGGGCAGGGGCTTCGCCGCCCCCCGAGCCCCCGGGGCTGCCTGCAGCTTGGCCTCACAGGGGCAGACGCTGCCTCAAACCGTCCTCCACTGTCGGATTAGTCCCTCTGGTCTTCGCCTGAAAGCAGAGTCACTTTTACAAAAATAAGTCACTATTTTTTTCATCCCAAGAGATGCAAATTTGGAGTTTGGGGAAGTTTGAGGGAGCTTGTGGAGTCACCACTGTGTGACGTCAGACGAGACAGGCCAACGGGTTCGCAGGGCCAGGCACGGGCTGGAAGCGCCTGCCCTCCTCCTCAGGGGTTCAGAACGCCAGACCACAGGGGCCAGAGCAGAGGGGACAGCCAGCCCCCAGTCCCAGCAAGGGGACCCTCTCGGCCACATGCCCAGGCCACGGCCCGGAGTCCGAGCGGGCTGGTGGAGCGTTGTGTGTGGTGATCTAAGTGACGCTGATGACCTAATCCCGTGTGAAGGATGAGGCTGAGTGTGGTTGGCTCTGTGACGCACCCACTGTCCTGTGTGTACGGATGCTGCTCCGGCAGGGCTGTTCCAGGAAGGTGCCCCCACCCAAACTCCCCAGGGACCCACGGGACCCAGTGGGAGATGACGGCTCAGGGCGAGGCCTTTCCCGCCAAGCAGAGCCCGGCCTTGGCGCCAGCCGCGGGCACAGCAAAGCAGCTTTCTCCATTGTGACGCATTTCACCACCCTGCCTGGGTGGACCGGTGCGTGAAGGGGAACTTGACATCACCTTGAGACTGATGGCTTCTGCCCCGACAGCAGGCCCGAGGGTCCCCCAAAGGCTGGTGGCACGTGTGGGGAGAGCCATCGCCTGGACCTCGGAGACTTTTTTTTCCTTTTAAGTGGAAATAATTTGTGTGCAGGGAACTGCTTAATCTGAGTCCTGCAGCCTGCAGCATGTGGCCAGGAAGACAGGCGTCGACGTGTGTCTGTAGCGGGGGAAGCATCCCGCGTGCGGTGGCGGACGGTTACAACGGTGTATGCTACCGGAGTACGTTTACTGTCCTGTCTTCCTGAAGAGCTCTGCGTGTGTCCACGCTTACACACGCGTGGGCAATCTAGCAGTCCTAAGTGGCGGATGTTATGGCCTTTTCCTGCCTTTATTAAAAAAAAAAAAAAGTAGTAAAAAATGTATCATACAGCAAAAAAACTCAGAGACAGCGTTATGAAAGCGTTGTGTCAGAGTCATGTTTGTCACACGAAAACTCAGCTGCCACCGCCTGTCTCGTCAATTGGTAGAGGGACGTTTAAGAACCGGGTTGTGACAAGTCACAGTAAAGCACTGTGCTCGTGGCCGGAAAACCGAATCTCGTGTTAGTTCTGTGCGGTGATTACAAAGATTTTCCTCACTTGAGTCTGTCTTGTTTATCGTTGTTCTGACAGTTTGGGAAGAATCAGAGCATTTGCCTTCATTGCAGGGTAAGCGTGTGAGGCCGTGGACACGGTGCTGTGTGGTGACCTTGGAGCTGGTCACCTGCTTGCTCCCGAGGCTGGTCTGTGTGGCTCTGGTTGCCGTGGCCCCTCGGTCTTGGGGCTGAAGCACTTGTGGGCTGTGAGCCTTTTCCTTTCCGTGGTCACCAGCTGTGCCTCTCTGAGCCACACACAGTCTTGGAAACTCATGTCACCTGTCAGGCTTTGAGAAATAGGTGAAAACCCCTCCCCCATCCAGAATAAGTGACCGTCACTCCTGCCTCTTTCATGAAAAGTACTGATATGACCAAAATTGGAAATATGTCTTCCATGTGCACCGTGAGTGCCTGCATGGCCTCTGCCTGCACACCTGCCCGCCGACGGGAGGCAGTAAGGTCCCCTGAACTCCCCCTCTGTGCCCAGGTCTCTGTTGGAAGCAGGATACACAGCTCAGGCCCACATATCTGAACCCAAGACACGGAGGTGCCCCTTCCAGAGAAAAGGGACCTGGCCGGCATTCCACCAGCAGCCCCGGGTGCTGGTCAGACGGGCGTCTCGCGTGGGCTGTCCAGCGGAGCAGGAGTGGGCGGGACTGTTGAGGACGCCTTTGGCCGTCACCCCCCGGGTCACCTGCGACCTCCCAGGGGCAGGTCGGGACCCCGAGGGCGAACACAGCACACCTGCCTCCCGTCCCCTCCCTGGCGTCGGTGGTGGCTGGCCGTGCAGCCGGCAGGGCGGACGTTCGGGCTGCCGAGGGCGGCTCTTCCCGCCATCCGTCAGCAAAGCCAGGAGGCTCGGGCCCTGCGCAGGCCTGCGCTCCCTCTGCCGTGGCTTCGCTGCTCCCGCGGAGGGCGTGGCGGCTCCCAGGCCAGGGCCCGGAGAGTGGGGACAGAGACGGAAGCGCCCGCCTGGCCCATCTGCCGGCCCGGAGGTGCATTCATTATTGATGGCGGGAGTGTGCGAGCTGCTCAGATATGCAGCCTGCCTGGGTAAATGAGACATTCTTCAGCAAATTGCTTCGTTTTTTGATTGCTGATTGTACGCGTGTCACCAAGCTGACTCAAGGTTCATCGATGCATGCTCAGTAAATTAGAAAGAACAGAGCTGCAGATCAGCCAAGAGAATGAGTTCTGTGCCTACAATGACCCAGGGCCATTTAATTTTCTGCTTAATTTTGTTGCAGTCAGTTTGCATTTTGGGTTATTATGCAGTAGGAAATTAACAATAAATAACAAATTTGGTCCTCCTGTGCTGGTAATGATATTTTTATAAATCTTTGTAATGCCGTTTTTTAAAGGATCAAGGTCTGCGCCAGTGTGATACTCCAGCAAGTATGTGAGGAGGAAAAGGCATTATTTTTGCGAGGTCACCCGGCGGCTCCACACGGGGCTGCTTTATCACGCTCAGTCCCAGATTTTATTCGTCTTCACTTTAAACTGAAACCCCTTCCTCTCTTTCTCAGATAACCTGAGGACAATGGACGCTGATGAGAGTCAAGACATGTCCCAAGTTTCAGGTGAGAGCCTCGTGAGGTCCGCTGCGGGCGCCGTGAGGCCTGCCCGCCCCGTGCTGCACGCCGAGGCTGTGTTCCCGGTGGGGTGGGGGCTGCCGTGCCTCAGGAAAGGCCGGTGAGGTCTGCGTCAGTGCCGAGCGTCACCGCTTGGACGTCTTCCTGCCTGGAGGACCTGACGGAGGACTCTCCACGTGAAACTGAGCTTCGGTGTTGAGTCTGAGAGTGACTTGGAGAGGATCAGAGCCTGGCAGCTCCCGGGGCCGGGGCCGCTTGGTCTCCTCCAGACCCCAGACACAGGCCGGCGATGACGTTTAAAGGGAGGGGTGGGGGACGGATGTTAGGGGAGTGGCTTGGAAAGCGTCCTCGGGCTCCATCCGGAGCATCTGCGAAGCGTGTAGGATGGTGCTCCCCTCACCACACGCTTCTCCGGTCCCGCTGGACGCCACTCCTCCCACCTTGGGGGCCCGGGAGAGGGGTGGTCAGTCCTGGGAGGCGAGGCCGCTCTGCATGGTGGCCGCTCTGGGGACATGCAGGAGAGGGGCATCCGGCCCGCCCAGCCAGAGGTGGGCCTGTTGCAAGCCAGTCACCTTCCTCCTCCTCTGCCAGCCGCACCTGTCACTTAGAGAGTGTGGACTTCGAGTCTCGGCTGCAGAGAACAACCCAAAGGTTAGCCTTCCCCCGGTGGCACGTGGCGGCACGTGGCGCCTGACGCACAGCCGGTGGGTGCGAGAACCTCTGCGGGCTACAGGGGTGGACGGCGTGTCCTCGAGAGACGCACGGAGGCCGAGGCCGGGGCCGACGTCACTGCAGCCCCGACACTGGGGGCCGAGGCCGGGGCCAGCGTGCAAAGGCACGCAGACGGCACCCCCATTCCGTGACACGGAAACAAGCTGCACACGCTCTCCACAGCCCTGCCCGGCCCCCTGGGAGGATGCTGGGGCAGTGTTTACTGAGCCCGCACCTCCGCTCCAAGACTGGTGCCGGAAGGAGGGGGCTCGCGGAGGGAGAGGTGGGACTCTGGTTGTCTGTCACCATCCACCTGCAGCACACCCGAACTCACGTCGCTTAAGCACATGCTCTGTTTCCCAAAGAGAAAGAAGCCCCATTGCAACCGACTCTGTGTACGCGACACAGAAAGCTTTGGCTCCGAGGAGCCACCCCTGCAGCCTGGCGGGGCCTGGTGACACTGGGCAGTGAAGCCCAGGGGAGGGGATGCACTGAGCTGGAGGTGACTAGCATGTCACAAACAAACAAACAAAACAAAACAAAACAAAACACCAGGACACTAAGAGTTTCTGAGGCAAAAGAGACCCTCCGACTGTCTCTGCTCTTCCCTGGCCCCTTGGGTGGCCTCTGTTCTGCATGGTGATGCCTCTGAAGGGGCGGTGACCTCTGTGACCTACGCCGAGGTCCCAAAGCCCACGCTGGAAGCCGAGCCTGGGCAGGCGCCTCCGAAATGGTCTCTGTGAGGAACAGTCAATAATCTGATCTCACGTCTTGGTAACAAAAATAGCAAAAGCCTCATTTTCTCCTCCCCTCCTGGCCCTCGGCGCCGCACGGGGCACTGCGCTCGTGCTGGACGCGGAGGGGCAGCGGGAGTGGGGACCGCAGGACTCCGACGGCCTGAGAGGAAACTCTTTCGGTTGAGAAGATTTAAGGTTTGCTCTGAAGTGTGCGTCGTGAGCATCTCGCCAAGGAAACGCTTCCGAGCCTTCAGGTTTCGGTGAACCCGGAGCATTCCGCACGGCGACCAGGGCCTGGAGTGAGCCGGGCCATCTTCACCGAAGCATGGACAGCGCTGTTTCTGCTTCTTGCTGCTTTGCCGGTTAAACCTGATCTCATCACCTTTTCCCTTCTTCACTTCTAAAATCGAGGCAAGGGGCAGCTGTGGGGGATGGGGGGGAGAGGCTGCACGTTTAGTCAAATAGGACTTGACACTCTTGATGTGAGAGCTGAGGATACGTGACCACATCACCCTCTCTTCCCATCGAATCATTCGATGTTATGCTCTGTGGACAGGAAAGGAGGAAAGATAGATTTTGCTAAGTCAGACGGCCCCTTTCATGGGTTACATAGACGTTCCAGTGTCAGCGCTTTCGTAGGGGTCAACTCGACTCACGTGGACCGCCCGCTTGACAGCCAGAGCAAGACTTGAAATCTGACTTCCCAAACCTCCTGGCCCCTCTTCCCTGGGATTTATGCGGACGGGGCCTGAGCCCTGGTTTGCAGTGTCTCGGGGAAAAGCCCGCGTTCGCCCAGCGAACACTCCCTGGCTGGCACCGCTGCCTGGGACAGTGTCAGCGAGTCGCCGTGAAGCTCTCCTGTGGGGCCCGCTCGTTCATTCTCTCAGCGAGGCATTTTTCTTTCTCGCTTTCTTCTCTGGCAGTCCTTCCAGAATGTTTTTATTCTGGAAGCGCATTATTTCTGTTCTGGTTTCTAAGGGAAGAGTCAGCCTGGGGGACAGTGCAGAGTGTCAGAGGGACGGATCTGTATCAGCATCCCATCTCTGCCTCCGACTACGGGACCTGAGACAGGCGTCCTGCCCCCTGGGACCTGAGACAGGCGTCCTGCCCCCTGGAATATGGTCGTGTCATCTGCAGCCTGAGGGACTTGAGCCAGCCGGCTGGGTTTCCTCTGGCTTCTGTGACCCTAAGCTATGTGGGAGGTTTTCCTAACGACTAGTGTTTGCTGGAACATCGAAACAAGAAATGTTCTCTGCAGATACCCCGAGTCGGCTCGGGGGCGGTGGCTCGTCCACTCTGCGGCCTCAGTAGAGGTGGCGGTCACAGCAAAGCACGTGGACTGACCGCTTCGTATTTACCAAACACGCCCCCTGTGTCCTTCCCATTTCAACTTCCCAAGAACCCAGTGAGGAAGATACAGGTGCCACCCTCAGTTTGCGGGGAGCCGAGGCTCAGGGCATTTCAGTAAGTGACCGGAAGTCCCACGGGGAGCCGGACGTGAGCCACGTGTAGGCCCGGCCCGGCCCGGCCCAGAGCACCAGCATCCTTACTCTGCCGTAGAGCAGGGTCTGTGTTCTGAGGTTTTATTCACCCCCAGGAATCATGTTCGGCTGCGCTCACCCATTTTGGGGAGACCAGGAACCATAAAACTTCGCTGGGTGAAGTATAGTCTACTTGAGAAATTATTTACTTGCTGCTGCTAAGCTAATTATACAGTTTTCTCATCTAATTTGCCCAAAACCCTTCTCACAGGTAATGCTTTATTTGCAACGCAGGCAGTAGGTTAATTAAATATAAATTGGTAGGAAGTTCCATTCATTTTTCTAAGTGAAATTATATTGTATCTGCTCAATTATTTCGTTTAGATGCCCGATGTCTTGCTGCGTGCGGTTCTTTGTGTCTGCCTGTCGTGAGTGCTCTGCCTGTCGTGGGTGCTCTGCCTGTCGTGGGTGCTCTGCCTGTCTGCCTGTCGTGGGTGCTCTGCCTGTCCTGGGTGCTTGGTGGCACACGCGCTTCTGTTATGCGGCACGTCGCAGTTTAGAAAATAACCCCCTAAACTCAGCATAGCAGGGTTCACACATTATGGTTTCTTTATCCCACAACAACCCTGTAAGCTAAGCAGAAATCATGCTTTTTAGCCTCATTTTACCCTTGGAAGAGTTGTAAAGAGGTGACTCATTCCGTGTCCCCATCAGCCTCACAATCAGTCAAACCAGAACTGCGTCCGAGGTCACCTCCTAGTCCCAGCGTATCAGCATCGGCTCCGTCCACTTGATTTAGCCGCTTTTTCTTTGCAACTTTTATGACCTTTCTGCAGTTTTGCGTTTTAAACGGTTGGCGGGGCGGCTTCCCGCGCACGGAGCTAGCTGCCTTTGCCGTCACGGAGGCTTCGCCCGGTGGGATGTCCACCGCAGACGCCGGCGGCCGGACAGGAAGCCGAGCCCCCTGGGAGCGAGCGAGCGCCTCGGGCTCGGCCGTCACAGCAGCCGGTGCTCAGGCTCCGGGGCTTGAGGACCGTCCCCGAGGGCAGCGAGGCGAGGGAGCTGCGTCGAGCTCCGGGAGGGCACGGGCGGGCCCCGGCCTTGCCCCCTCGGCTCCCACGGCTGGCGCCCTCCCCCTGCACCCGGGGTCCCCGGCACGGGCTCTGTCCCGCAGGCTGGCACCCCACGTTTGGTGGTGCAGCATCTTCAGGGTCCCTCCTCTCTCGTGCAGAGCACGGTGGAGATGCCGGCTGGGAGTGCCCTGCCCGGGGCGCTGGCACGGGGTCAAGGCCGGAGCGGACCAGCCAGGGCACGCAGTGGTTCCCGGCGGCCTCGGTGAGGCCAGGCGTCCGTGGTCTTGTCCTTGAGTAAAAAGGCCAGTCAGTTTCCTTTACAGTAGTCGAGGGGTTTGGACAAGGCAGAGAGACCACGCGCCTTCATGGGAGACACGCCCTGGCTCTCTGTGGTCCTCCCTCCCCCGGTCCCCCCGCCACCCGGATCCGGAGTCCCAGAGCATCGCGGAGCGTGTCACCGTCACCACAGGATGGGTCACAGCAGAAAATGGGCTCATAAAGTCCAGTCTCGCAGCATCCCAGCCAGTCACGGCAGCTGGTCAGTGAGAGGTGTCGTGCACCCCACGCTCGGCCCAGCCAGCCAGGGGGCTCAGCTGTTGGTTCTGTGGGCTTCCTCGGGGGTCTCCAAGAAAGCAAGCGGCCCAGGTCTCGGATCTTCCAGCCTCCCGCCTGCGGTGTCCCCACTTTACATAGAAGACGAGTCTTATGTTCTGAAGTTTTGTGTAAGATTATTCTTACCACCCCCCCAAAGCAGAGATTTCTCTCACTATCCCCCTGAAGTCCTCAAAGTTTGAAAACCGTTATTCTAGACAGTCACGATAAAAAGTCAGATGGCTTATACCCCACTTCCACTCTCGTATTCAGAGTTTCCCCTGTTTATGAAATAGGTGACAAATAGCACGGAGACACTTAGGTTTTGTGACTTTTGAGCTCTTCTATTTAGGGCGATGAGCACTGTGACGTGTGCCCATCCATGAGGCTCTAGCGTCACACGAGCACTTCCAATGAATCTCTCTCCGGCCCTATGTTTTTCCTTGGGAAAGTCTTATAATTTGCCCATCGTTGACTCTCCGTCTTGGACCGGCTATCCAAACATACCCCATGATGTTCTTTCCGAAAATAGGCCGGTCACGGTCCTTCCAGCTTGGCCGGGATATTAACGGCAGGGTCAGTTTGCCGGAGAATGCGGCGCTGTTCCCCAAAGCATCGCCGTGGCGCCGGCGCAGGACCCGATTTAAATTCTCCCGGTGAGGGTCGCGTCGCACGTGGGGGTGCCTGCCCACGTCTGGCCGGGCCCCTGAGGTGTCGCCGTGGCTCCTGCCCACGGTTTTGTCCAACGACCAGAATGAGCCGTGCTCCGCCTCGCAGGCCTGGAAAGGACCCTCCGTCCCGTCCGGGGGAGCCGCACGGCCGGCCCCGCCGGCCCCGTCGGTGGCTTGCCTCTGAATGTTGTTTGCATCGACTTAGGGCCTGGCCAGCTGCTTCTCCCACGTGGTTTAGGTCTCTAAGTTCACGTTAAGTTAGGTCTAGCAGATAGAAGATCTTGAGTTTCAGCTTCAAAGGGAGAGGAGCCCTTCCTGCCATCTGCGGCTTCAGGATTCGGGCATTGGGGCGAGGCCCCCGCCGGGCCCTCAGCTCAGCTCCATTCTGTTGACTCGGGATGGGTGAAGACGTCTTCCGAAGCCGTTTCCCTTGGTAGACCCTGCTTTGCAGTCGTGTGGATCACCCTGTATTTTCATGCTTCAAAGATAGGAATCCCGTCCACTGACCCTCCGTGCACGCGAGGGTGGAGCAGGGCCCCGGAGGCCTGGACTCCGGCGCACTGTCTTCCCCAGCTTCCCCTCCGCACCAAGCGGAATCGAGTTAGGCAGCCGCCCAAATATTTCCAGGCAAGAAGGCGAGCAGACCCAGAGGGAGCCTCTCTGCGCAGGGTGCCGGGCCTGGTGCCCGGAACACCCAGCTCACGTGAGGGCGTGGCAGAGCCAGCTCGGGGGGCGGGGGGGTCCATGGGACCGACTCGCAGGGAAAAAATTGGCTTAATGGATGCAGAGCCTCAAAAAAGTGGACGCCTTTAACGGGGGTCGATGAACTTCCGGGAGTCGATGCTGTGGTGAGGAAGACACGCCAAGCCTGGTCGCTGGGGTTTTCAGCAAAGCGCTGTGTAACAAAAAAAAAAAAAATGAGGACAGCGTAAGACCGGAACCGGGAACAGGGTCTAAGCGGATCTTGCGAGCCTGAGCAGCGCGGCGTCACCTGCCACCGTGGGCAGCGTGGCCACTGGCATGGACGTGTGTCCGGGCAAACTCCGAGGAAAGGCAGGTTCCTTCGATACAGAAACTGCACGTGTGCGCGTGTGTGCGTGACTTTAATAGCGGTAACCTTTATTTTCGTGTGCGCACCTCTGTGCTCTCATTTTTTGCTGCGGCTTTTATTAAAAAACATGCGTTTATAAAAACGATACGCTTTTGTAGAAAGGAAGTCAGATCTCGGTCCCTGTGAGAAGCGTCAGTGGGGTGCAGCCGCTGCCTCCCGGTGTGGTGCTCCCATGCCCAGCCCAGGGGTGGCCCCGGCGCCCCGGGCCTCCCCGCCCGCCTGCCCCGGTGACCGCGCCCCCAGGAACTCAAGCTCCTACTTGTCTCCTCAGGGAAGGAAAGCCCTCCAGTGAGCGACACCCCCGATGACAGCGACGAGCCCATGCCTGTCCCCGAAGACCTTTCCACCACGTCGGGAGCACAGCAGAACTCCAAGAACGAGAGAGGCGCAGGTGAGTGGGGCGTCCCCCCTGGCGGCTGCCGCGGGCTCCGCTCCCGCGAGACCTCCGTCCCTCTGTCCTTCCCAAGACAGTGAACAGGTGGCGTGGGTCATTTTGTCGCTGTCCCCCTCGGCCATCGTGCTGGGCAGATGCAGACTAGAGGTCAGCGAGGTGGTACCGCGTGTCTGACACAGAGACACGCACGGGCACCGCAGACCTGACACCCGCACGTGGAGCAAAACCGCCGTGGGGCGGCTGGGCACGCGCTGGCGCTGGCTTCTGTCCTGGCGCGCCGGGGGGATGTCCCCTTACGCAGGGGTCAGGGCGACGCGCGGCTGCGTTCTGCTGGCCGGGCCGTTTATTTTCAGAGCTTTGGGTGAGGAGGAGCAAACCTTCCACTTATGCTATCCGTCCCATCTCTGTTTCCTGAATGTCAGATTTACCTGGAAATAGGAAGTTCGACCAATAGAAATGTGAGGTGTTAGAAATTAAACGAGGTAACCTCAGTTGGGGCACATTCACAGACCTCGACAGACCTTGTCCACGTGGGGGCGGGACCCCCCTGTCGCCCTCCCCAGCGGCCACCAGCCTCGGGCCACAGGTCCAGCTTAGAAAGCTCGCTGTGGCCTCAGCGTCCTGAGGAAACGGAGGTACAGGGACGTTCAGGGTCCTCATTAAGCTCAGCGGCACAGGCAGAATCAATTTCTGACTCAAAGAGCAGCTCCCGCCTCGTTGCGCTGTGTCGTCAGGAGCGAACGAGCCCACGGTTCTTGGACTACCTCATTTTTCTCTCTAAAAAACAAAAACAAAAACAAACAAGCAAAAAACCTACACTATTGAGAGCCGCCTATTTGCACACACAAAAGGAAAGTCACCACGAAGGGCCCCCAGGCCGCAGTGAGGCGGATGGACCCACAGTGTGTCTGTCGGCTGCCGGGGAGGTGGCACCCGCCGGGGTCTCAGGGTCACGGAAGGCTGCTCCAGAGGACACCCTGATGTCATCACCGGGAAGCGTACCTCGTACGTTTTCCCTGTCTCAGAAACCAGGTAGACTTTGGGTATGATGAGCTTTTTTTTTTTTTAATTTAGCTACACAGTTAATTATACAGACAGACAAGGGTGGTGACCAAAGCCGTGTGGTGTAGATGAGCCAAGAAGACAAGCACGTTTATGAACGCCTGCTCCCCGTTAGAAGGGGGCTCTGTGCGTGGCAGGGGGGTCTCCCAAAGTGGCGCGCGGAAGCACATGCTTCCTCGTAGCGGATGCATTTATTTTTAAGATCGCCTTCTGTTTCTTGCAAGTGACACTGGCTGATCATACACCCTACTACTTTCAAAACTCGTACATGTACATTAAGTCAAGTTTCAATAAAAATAAGCCCGTGGTGGTGCAGACATGTGATACAGATTTGCAAAGGTGGCACGTGACGAGCGAATGTTGGGGTGACCGTGTCGTCTCGTTTGCCCAGCCCCTGGAGCAGCCAGCGAGATGAGTCTCTGCACTTTTCATTAACAGCCAGAGGCTCATAACTTACCTGGGACATGGAGTGGGGGCTCGGGGACCCAGGGCCACAGGGACCTGTGTGGGCGTGTGCCACCAACCACCGAAGGGGACTAGGAGCCGGGACATCTGAGTTAGGACGTGGGGGTCATTACAGAGAAACCAGGGGTGGGTCCCCAAAGTCCCTGCAGCCCGGGAGCCAGAGTCACCGCGACGTCCCTTAGGGGAACGGAACTCAGGCTGACTCCAGGGGAGCAGAGGACAGCACGGTCACCTGGTGCCGGTGACAAGCCGCGTTAGCGACGCCTCCACAGCCCTCCGCACATGGACTTCGGGTGCTTGGTGCTTCGCCCTGGCGGGGCTTCTGGCTGTCCCCAGACTCGGGGTGAGGATGCGAGCGCGGGGTGCCACCTCGCCCCCAGCGCAGGCGTGGCCGTGGGCTGGGGGCCGGCCCGTCGCTTCCTGTGGCCACTGCCCAGTGCGCCCCTGCCCTGTGCGACAAGATCGTCGTTCCGCTTCTCCTTCCAGGAGAAAGTTTATGAAAAAGTGAATTTCAGGCGCGCAGTTCAAAGCACCCGAAAACCGCTCTGCTGGCTCGTAGCTGGCGGTTGGCGCTGGGACACAGTGCTGGAGGGTGGACACTCTTACGGGGCCCGAGCCGTCCGTCACGGCAGGGAAGCCGGCAAGCCCAGGGCCCAGGTGGCACTCGGGCCCTAGAGAGGGGAGAGGCCTGCGGAGAAAAGTCTGTGCGGGAGGGGACCCCACGCAGCAAGCCGCAGAGAGAGTTTGAGAGACCACCCTGGCGATTTTCGAAGGGACTCGGCATCAGCGCGCAGCGGCCGCTCGTTTATGACCCACTTAATCTGTGCCGCGCAGCACGAAGCGAGTGAAGTGCGTAACTAGCGCGGGAGACGACAGGAAAAGACGGAGGGGTCAGGACATGGAGGGGAAGGGAGACCCGTGGGGAGCCACGTTCCGCCGGCTCCTTGGGAAGAAGTCAGAGCGACGACAGGAAGGGAGAGGCGCCCCGCCCGGGCCGCGCGGCAGGGGAGGGAGTGCCGGGGACCCTCCGGACAGAGGGACGTGGGGACGGCAGGCAGGGCCAGGGCCCAGCCTGGCCCGCATGCCCCTCTGCCGGCCTCATCTCCAAGCAGCAGCGGCAACAAAGCGCGTCCCGCAGACGCCGCGAGGGATTCACGGAACACGTACACGCGCCCTGCGGACGAAGCCCAAAGGTCGGAAGATCGAGCGTGTGCGAAACGGGTCTTTTCCGAAGAGGGGACAGGACCCGCCCGGCTTCGGCCGAGAGAGGGGGAGAGAGCGGGGAACGCGGGGAGCCAGCCGCTCATCGACGGAAAATCAAGACGAGTCACAGAGCGAGCAAACCGCACGCCGAGCAGGGAAGGGGAGGCAGGCGAGGCCGAGAGGGGTTCGGGCGCCAGCCGCCCCCAGACCCAGGTCAACGTCCGGGGCGCTGCCAACCCCGCTGAGCGCTGGAGGCTGGAGGGTGGGGCACGGAGGGAAAGGTGGGAAACCGTCGGGGGATCACAGCCTCTGCCGGGGCGTCCGTCTCAGAGACAGACGGACAGCGCTTCTGAGAAGCTGCGGGCTACAGGCAGCGCTGATCCCCGCCAGGACACCCCCTGGTGACGAACAGACGGGGCCTTCCGGACGGGGCGGAGGTGGCATCGGGGTGCCCTCTCCCGGAGCGGGGAAAGCAGTGGTTCTGCGCCCCCTCACTTCTCCCAGGTGGAAGGGGCACCCAGAGAACTGCACGGAAATGTGGGTTAAAAAAAAATGGGAAAACAGGTGTGAGGGGGACAAGGCCTCATCCAGGCGGCAGCCCGTCACGTGGCTCCGCGCTCCGCCGGGGCCGAGCGAGAGGAACGGGGTGCGCGGTGCGCCTCGAAGCCTCTCAGATGCCCGCGGACGGCAATGGAGTCGCTCAGGCGTCAGAAGCCTGTCGAATGAGATGGTAGCTCGCTCTTCTGAAGTGGTCTCTTTAAAAACGAGAGACGGCTCCCCTCTCTGAAGTGGTTGTGTGCGAAACTGCGTCAAGCAGAGGATGTTCTCAGTGACCTCTTAAGGCAACCCCGACTTTACCCCGTCAGCCACGGCACGCACAGGAAGGCGGAGAACGGGGCCGGCTGCTCAGCGACAGCTGGTGACCAGTGGCTCTTAAAAGCGGCCGCTGCGGGAATGGACGGCTGAGCTTTCTGCCCGAGAAACCCCAACCCCTTAGCGCTCGCCGGCCCTCTTCATGGCCCGAGACTGCCTCGCCCTCACCTCGCTCGTGTGGGCTCCATGTCCTAAGGCTGAGCGAGGATCCCCGAGCTCTCGGATGCTGTCGCTGACCCCCAGGCCTGGAGGTGCGTCCCCCAAGAGGACGGGCTGGGCTGCGGGGTAGGAGGAGGCCCCCTCCCCGTGGATGCTCAGGGCTGGTGGGGAGAGGCTCGGGGGGCTGCAGGGGAGGAGGGCGGGAGGGCAGAGATGAGCCGGGGCCGGGGCAGGAAGCCGGGCAGCGGGAGCCGG